CTTCCTCGGATATGAAGGTAAAAATTACTATAAGTCAGTGATTTGAATGTGCAGGTAAATGATAATCAGGCTAAAGTACGGCGCAGTCCCGAGACGGCGGCAGGGGGTACTTTGCACTTTTGATAGTTCCCATCGACGTGTCGACCCATCTAGACAGCCTCTTCTCGAGTTGAACAGGTTTTACCATGATGGCTTGACGAGCTTGCTCCAGCTCCACAGGTTTCACCAGAGTGAGACTTCGTAAACCGGAACCAGTGAAGCAACGAAAGTGCAAAATGCCACGTCCCCTGTCGCCGAACTGCGCCCTAAAGTACTTCATTTACATTGTAGAAGTGACGACTAAGGAAAACCAAAACGAAAAGGAAGTTCATGCATAACGTAATAGTAACACCTACAACATAGATGGACTATCATTTACAAAACCGTGCTGCATGTTCAAAGGCAGTGGGCACGACTGCTGGGGGCGAGCGGTTGTTGCCCAGGATGTGAGATACCAACTTTGGACAAACGCCCTCTCTCAGCACTCCTACCAATGACAATGCAGCAACCGCCCGCCTCCAGCAAACGTATCCACTGCCTTCAAAGCCTCGCCTACAGGAAGGTTGAGTGCAAGTGATCGTCAACGAAACCCCCAATGAAGTGCAGCATGTTGCCGGACTTCGAATTCATGCCATGCAGAAATACATGGGTAGCAGTTTTGGGCTGTACAGTAAGGACAACTGTGCTCAGTGCTCCCGCTAGATTACCTATTCTTCACTACCAGGCCCCGCCCATATGATGAGTGCGGAGTCCGAACTTCACATGACTGCGAAACAACAGACAAAAGCAAAGCTGAAGAAACTTAGAAAAGTAGCAAAGTAATATAGCATACAAAAGAAAAATAGCGAAATAATATAGCTGTAAACATAAAAATACTGAAGAAAGTAAGAAAACAACGAAAGAAACGAAACGATGTGCTGAAGAAGCATGAGTGGCTCGGCGTCGTGACATCCGGCAGTAAGATAAAAACTTACATACGGTGACCAATGTGGATAGGCTGGTATCTAAAGTAAAATAGTTAACTAGTATAGATTAACTTAAATGAAAATGCAAACGTAAAGATAGTATTAACAAGAACCAGCGACAGGCTGTTTGGTAGCTAAACGAGAAGGTTTATCCAGATACCCGTAAGTACTCGGTGACTCACTGGAAATAACCCGTAATTACTCGGTGACTCACTGGAAATACACCGCAAAGAAAACGAAATTTTATATTTCTCTATTATTTATTCTCTGACCCGAATATCGGCGCGCAATCACTTCTTGCTTCGCCTTAACAGTTCCGGATCATAGTCCTCACCTTTACCTCACATTCCCATCACGCGTACATGTGGTCGTTTTCGCTG